TCACTTTGCTCAGGTACATACCCTGCTTCCACCCAATCTTTCTGAAACTTTAAAGGCTCTGAATCAATAAGAAGCAATAGCTACTGTTTTTAATTCACTACTTGGCAAGCACCAAAACCAGATGCAATTCTTACAGATGAGTTTGTGTAGCATGAAAACAAGCAAGTTCTGATGACAGTTATGAATGAGGCTGGTTTTTCAGATGGTCCTCTTGCAAATGTATGCAGGCACTAGCCATAATGCTGTAACTACTGTATCTAATACATGAATCAGCCACATTTTGGATGCTAATTGTGCTTCCTGAGCTTTATTGGTTGCTGCTGTAAAAGCCACATGCTAAGCAGCAGATGAAAGCTATTGAACCGTACTGGTTCAGAGTGATAAATGGACCCTTCAGGTCAATAAAGAACCTGTTTGGTCAAACAGCCCTCTGACTGGCTTAAAGCATGTTTGTGTGGTCTGAAAGACTCCTGGCATTAGCTGGCCATCACTTAGTGGTTGAGAGCTGTCTTGGTGGTCCTCTTGGCTGCAACTAAGCTGATAAAAACCAACCAGATGTCCTATTAACGCTTGATCTTACTCTTGCTTTTGTAAGATAATCCAATAAACAAGGTTATGTAACCAAGTTTTAACATAAGAGCTTTAATAAAATATACTTTTAGAAATACATAGATATATATATAAAAATATATTCCAGGCAACGGTAAGCCCTAGTTAGTTCCCTTGTGGCAAAAAGACTGGAGTTGACCAGCCTGCTTTTTAATTTTGAAGTACTGAGAGCTGACAGGTGCAGAGGCTGGGAAAGTGGTATCAGCTGAGTTGCCAGCTCAGGGAAGATCCCAAACCTTGGTGCCTGTGTTTCTGTGGCTTGGTGGGAGGAATGGGTTTGAAGTCCCTCCCAGGGGTTGAGCAAGCTGGTGTGCTGCTTGTGGCTCCTACTAGCCTGCAGGGAAGACTGTAATTCAGGGTGACAGGCTGTTGTTCTTTCTTTTACCCTCACTGGTTTCTCATTTTTTGACTGGAAATGTCAGTAAAAGCAACAAAAACACTGTCTTTTTTTGTCATTAGTATGCTGGATTTTCATGCTGTTTTTCAGCATGAAAAAGGAAGGAAAAATAAAGAATTTTGCATTGACTTTCTGAGTGTGGAAACCACATACCCTCCACTATGAGCCTGGTGATTTACCTGGCCTTTCCCATTTAATGGAGGAGCTTGGAGGGAAATGAGGGAATAATTCTTAATAGCCAGCCCTGTGAAAAAGCACTGTAATGGTTTCTCCCTGCCATCCTGTGAATGTAGACAGCATTTAATAGATTCAGTTCTCTTTCTTATCTGAAGGAGGCATTTCTTTACCTTGTTTCAGTTCAGCAATGAATCAGCCCTCTATGCCTTCTTGTTTCTAATAAAACACTTCACTAGCAGAAAAATCTTAATCAAAGTAGACTATGCCCATTCTGCCTTGGCTGGGTTTATTTGCTGAATCTTAGGAAGAGAATGATAAACTCCTAGAAAATACCTCAGCTGACTTAAGAGGTGAACTGGAAAACTTGGGAGGGTTTTTTTCATCTGCTGGTTCTCTGCATATTTGACTTCTGACAGGGCTGACTGGTACAGTTTTCTATGTAGGTTTTAAATTGTTTGAATTATATGTGTAATGAAGTACTTTTTGAATTGTTTCCCCCTGGGAGAGACTGAGGCTTGGAAAACATCAGGTAGAAAATTTGGGTATATGTCTGAGGTGCTTATTTAGGTTTACTTTTTCCTTAGGGAGAAGTTATGAAACTAATTAACTTAATGGGTTGGAAGAGCATTGAGGTGTCTGGCACAGCGAGGCAGAGGAAGTAGACATCCTCCTGCTAAGCACTGTGGTCTCTTCTCATCCTATTGGGGATGTGTTTTTAAATAGGGTTCCTGGCCTTGGGACTCCTCTGATGGTTGATGATGAGATTAGCTCTAATCCAGGGACTGAGTCCTTGTCTTCATGTCCAGGTTGTTGGTGACAAACTGGCCCCTTTTTCCTGCCTTGTGCTCAATCCTGTTGAGCTGTACACAGTTTCACTTCAAAATTATGTTGATCTGGATGTTTAATGTCCAGTTGTGCTCTGGCTTTCTTTTTCCAAGCACTCCAGTGTGTTCTGTAGCTTCCCTTCCTAAAGTAGTTGGCACAAATCCTTGCAAAGCAAGGCAACCTCATCTCATTGCAGGCCTTAGCATTGTTTGTATTGATCCAGGGATATTCATCTTGGACCATTAATGGGTGGCAAGTGGAAAAGGTAATAAATTTCTGTTGCACTAGAATTAATCCCTCACTTGGCTCTTTTGGACCAGGATCTTGTTAAGAACAGAAGACACTGATTATCCTAAAGGATGGGAGGGACATTAAACCATTCAAGCATAACCACTTGTACTCTTCCCCATGAGTTAAGCAGTAATGGCCAGAGAGGAGGAGAGTTGAAAACTTTGCTGAATGGATTTAGTTGTTTAAGGTGCTCTGAGAGCCAGAGAAGAACTGCAGAAGGTGAAGGACACCCAGGTTCTTCCAGTACCTAAGGATGCTTTTTGATGCTTTTCAGCGACTGAGTCCTAAATCCACCTTGACACATCTCCTTTCCTCAGTGGGTGAGGCAGATCTGGGTTTCAGACCCACCTGCTTTGGTCTTGGTGATTTTGTGTCAATGGTTTGAGGGGCTGTTTTGCCAATTGGTTCTGGAGCATTCTCATTTGCAACAGACACCTGTTCCTTAATTAGCACATCCTTAGTTCATCTCTCTGTGTTCAGTGCTTTCTGACGCAGGAGCTATAAAGTGATTTGAAGGGAGGCTGTGTTGAGCAGTGTTGGGAGAGAAAATTGGAAGAGATTAGTCACAAATTCAAGAATACTTGTCAGTAAGACAGTTGATGTCAATTTTTGTTTGCTTCGGGGCCTTACCCTACATCACTATTTAGTCAAAGGTTTATTTAGTCTGTGCACTGCTCTAGGATGGAGTGGCAGTCCCTAGTGGGCAGGAGAGTAGAGTTAAGGTCCCAATTAGAAGAAAGGAAAAAGAGGGAAAAGAGTAAAGAAAGGTTTGTAACTGACTGGTTTGCTTCTATGTTAAAACCTCAAGTCCCAGAACTGTTAAACCTGATTTGGCTCTTAGTCTTGCCAGTTATGCCTGTGGCGTCATGTTCTGTGTGATTTCAGCATTTCCTCCAACAACCATCAATTGCTTCACAAATTGCTTCTGAATTCTGTGCATGTTTCCTGCCCTTTTTTTAATCTGAGCAGTAAAAGCAAGACTTGGTGTAAGCAATGGTCTCAGATCAGAATATATCCCCACAAAGCAACATGTCAAACCAAGGGTTCTCTCCCCTGCTCCTCTTCTGGGTTTACTTTCGTCACCTGAGAATACTTGTGATGTGAGGCATTTCCAATTTGCCTTGCAGATATTCTGAAACTGTCTCAAAAAAGGTTTCTTGGGGTTGTGCTAGTCTTAAAATAGCTTGGATTCTGTTCTGTCCTGACTCTGTTGGGGCTGACAGAGACCTTGAGGCTTAGCAGACCTGCCCCTTTGAGTCCCAGTTCTTCGCTTCTGGTGGCACCTTTTCTTGAACTGTGTTAAGAAGTCATGGAAAAGAACAATGTGTAAATATTAATGTTGAATCTTTGTCTTTAAAAATCTCTTTGGGATGCTCTATAAACCTATGCTGTATGTGCTGTGGCTTTCTAAGCACTGCCTGCTTACAGCATTTGAACCTGTTAGTGTATTGCTAACCAATGCCATCCCATGGAGGACAGGCAGGGCTCTCTAACACGCATTTTGTCTCTTACAAGTAGCTTCTCTCATCTGTGTTTAGACTGCAGCCAGGGTCTGTTTTTTTCTTGCAGTGGAGCCTTTTCTCTTCTCTTCTCTCTGGAGTAGGTGAGGCTTGAGTGTTGCTTTGTGCCCGAGCAGAGGTGACAGTGCTGCACAGGACATGTCACCTCTGGGCACAGGCTGATAGCATGGTTGCTTTGTGTGCTCTAGGAAGTGCTGGAAGAAATGCTCATGGGAAGCTGTAGAGTCCAGATTTCTAGAATGGATCTTTGTTGGATGTATTTTGCAGCCCAGCTGGAAGATGTGCAACAGACTGGTGCTGCAGTATACCCCAGTTTAATTTGCCCCATCCCTGGAAATGTTCAAGGCCAGGTTGGACAGGGCTTTGAGCAACCTGGTCTAGAGGAAGGTTTCTCCCTGTGGCAGGAGATTGGAATGAGATTGTCTTCAAGGTCCTTTCCAACCCAAACCATTCTGTGATTCTATGAAACACAGGTCTCTTAATCCAAGAGGGCAGTGAGGAAGTTCTTCATTGAAGAACCTTTACTTTCCACATTGAATTAAGTTCTCTCTTATGAATATCTCTTTGGTGACTTTTTCCCTCACTTTACACAGGTTTTCAGCTTCCAAGAGCTGAACCATTACACTGTAGCTTCCCCTATCTGTTTTTACCTGTATGAAAAGCCCTCTATGTTTTACACAGGCGACTTTTAAAGCATGGGGGAAAAAAGCTCCAGGCAGACCTGGCTCCATTGCTGTGGAGCCTGGGATACCCCGAAGCCACCCCATCAATGTTAATGGGAGCAGACTGGTGAGGGCTATTGCTATTCATACGTAAACTGAGCATGTACTTGGGCAAAGAGGCCACAGTTTAATATTTAATATTCTGTAAGGCTGCACTGGGAGCTTTTACTGAAATGTGTCAGTAAAGGAGTGCTATAGCAGTGATAGCAAACAGCTGAGAGCCAAGAGATCCTGAGCTCTACTTCTTCCCCAGGCATGTTCTCTGATACCCAGCAGCTTACTTGACCCCCTTGTGTCTCAGCCAACTTAGCTGTAAAATTAAGCAACAAAGAAAGCTTCATGACAAACAGGCATGTCTGGAGGTGAACTTTCAATACAAGCTTTGTTCTTCTGATAAATTCATCTCGCTGGCAGAATTTCTGGTTTTTAATCTAATATGTGATTTTGTTGTCCTTCCAGGCAGCATTCACGCTCCTCCTGGGTCCTTTCACCTTCTTCAATGTGCAGAAGACCAAGTATCTTCAAATCATGACGTCCCTCATGAGATGGATAGGTGAGTCTTGGCAGGGGCTTGGCCACCTCTTTACCATTAATGGAACCTGAGTCATGCCACTGACGCTTCTCTTTGGCAAGATCTTCTTGTTTGGAAGCAAGTGCTTGTCAAAGCAACATCTTTGAGGACAATTGTGCAAGACTAATAAGTTTTTGAGGAGAAAGGTTTTAGTCTAAGATGAAGTTTCTGATTAAAACAAAACAAATTGTTCTCAATTAGACATGGCTAGTAAATGAGGTTTTGGTCTGGTTTGTGTGAGGGGCAGAAGAGGTTGGGCAGAGTTTCCTGTCTGGGTGCTGGCTGTGATACTCACCAGTTGGAAGTTTCTCATTCTCACAGCATATGCACAGCAGATTTTGGACAATCTTTGCTTTGATCTGAGGAAAAAAAGGCATTTCTGTCAGACTTTCCACCCTTAGTTTTATCATCTGCTTGCATTTATTTTCCTCGGTCTTCCTTTATGGTAGGATGTGCTGCATTGGAAATCCCCAAACCAATATGCATTGTCCTTGGGAAGTCCTGCTCCCATGAGTTCTTTCAAAATATTGTCAAGAACTTCTGGGAAGACAGATCATTCCCTTAAGAGGCATAAGACATCACTCCTTTTTTTTTTTTCCCAATGCCTTTGTCATTCAAAGATGCAGCTGCCTCACGTCTGGCTTGTGTGTGTATGTGCCCTTAAAGGCTGAGAGGTGTGTGTGGGTTGTGAAGGTTTATGTTCAGGTTTGTCTATTTTTATGTCACCTAGACAGAGTGACTGATACTCAAGGCTAATAAAAAGCATTTCTGCAGGTTAATAACCAGCATTTCTGCTGGTTAACAGTCTCCTGGTGTGTGAATCCAGACTATTCAGACACAGAATTAGCTCTGCTTATACCTATCACTGGAATAAGAAGAAAAGCTGCTTCTCTAACTATTTCCCATTACACCCATACTCTTGACCAGACTGCAGTTGGGTATTGTTCCTTCTCTGTGAGTTCATCCTGTTTGGAGGTGACTGGCAGTCACTGCAGAGGAATAGAGATCCTCTGTTCTAGAGAATTCCTGAGACAGGGTTAAGCAGTTGACACCCAGGAAAATTAAGTTGGATTTTAAGCTCTCAAGTCTCAGATGTTGAACAGTTTGAGTTAATAAATCCTGACTTTGGATGGTGTGAAAATCCTGAATGCCTGTTTTTCTCCTTTGTTGTCTGAGCACATGAAAGGTATGAAAGCACTCCCATTCTTCAGAGAAAGAGGTTATCACATTAAGGGATACTAAAGGAAATGAGAAAGTTTGGCATGGTTTTTTTTGGGTTTTTTTTCTTCTTTTTTTTTTTTTTCTTTGTAAGAGTGATCTCTGCTCAGCTGACTGGCCTGATTCCAATCACCCTGCCTTCTCTTTCCTGGTAAAGACATCAGTCAGACCTCATTCCTGTCTCTGTGAGTCTGATGCCTGCCTCATCTGCCGTTGATTTCCCTTTAGCCAGCTCCTTCCAGTATGAGGATTGCTGAACCTTGGCATGATGGCAGAACTGTTCCTCTCTTTCATGGCTTGATGGAGAGGGATAAAGGCAGTGTTTGGAGAAGTGTAGGGGAAATTAATACTTTAGCCTGATTGATTCCTGCGTCAGCACGCTGGGGAACAGCTGCCCCAGATAATGATAGTTAATGACCCTGACAGTACCTCAGTGGCTACTTAGAAGAATGGATTCCGTATGTGTACAATGAGGGATAGATTTATTGGGAAAGACAATTTGTCAAAAAGCCATGTGATGCAGGGAGCAGAGAAAAGCTCCTGCTGCAGATCCTGGAGTAAGGATCAATCCCATACTGCTGAGATTTGCCAAACTGGCTTCTCCCATGTCCTCACATAACTGCTGTCACCTCCTCCAAAAGCAGGGCTGTGAGTTAAACACAGGTTGGTGTTTACAGAGCTTAGATCCTAAAGAATGGTCTTGGGCAGTGTTTTGTGGTTGTCTGGACTTTTCCTGCCTGCATGCCAATGGCCAGATGTGAACTCTTTGTCCTGGTGTAAGCTGTGCCTTTCCTTCACCTTCTTTGGGTTGGTTTTAGCCATGTGGTGTTGAGGGTGGTTCTGTAAAATACTCTGAGCAGCAGAGCAACACTGCAGCTTCCCACCTACCTGTTTATTGTGTGGGGGGAAATAAAACCTTCCCATGTGGACAGTGACTTATCCAGCTCACCTGTGCTCATTGGCTTGGTGGGGATGGGAATCTGACCCATGCTTTGCATCATTATTTGATAAAATGAAGCCTCCCTGAGCTGGGAGGTCAGTACAGACTTTGCAGTGTGCTTCCCACAGGACCCACCACACATTCTTCTCTCCAGCCCAGTGGAAAGTCCCTGGATTTCAGAGTAGAAGAGGCTGATGTAAAGCAGCACTGCCTCAGGTGTACTGGTGATTCAGATGATAGCAGCTGAGAGGATGGTTCTTGGCAGCAGGGAGAGCTAGCTGTGTGTGAAGGTCATTTCTGCTGGTGTTTGTAACAGTGTCAGCCTTGCCTTTGAAAGTTGCTTTCCCTCTTTTTCCTGATCTAAGTGATAATCAAATGTCACCAGCCTCTTCCAGAGCCCTGTGCTCATCACAAGCAGCACATTGGCTATCAAAGCCTACAGCAATCTCATTCCACACCTCCCAGATAAAAAAAAAAAAAAAATCATTCTCTCTCTGAAAAATAGGCTTAAACACTTGGATCTGAGCTGGAAATTAAAAATGGGCCAGTTCAAAGAATGTGGAGATGTTCCAGGGATCAGCTATTTATCTGGCATCCTCCCAGGATAGGGGACTAAGCCAGGACAGGCACCTCTGAAGCCTCTAAAAGGAGAAAGTTGAAGGAGGAGCTTGCAAGCCCAAGTACTGTGCTGCTAGAGAGCCCAGACAGATGGGCTCTCCTTGTCTGGGCCTTTTGATCATGGACAGCTCATCTGGAAAGAAGGCTGGCATGGCAAGGCACTTCCCTGCCAGGACTGATGGGAGCACAGAGGGTGGATCTGTGTCTCCAGGTGGAGTGGGGCTGGTGGCAGAGATGGCTTCCAGAGGAATCGAGCTGTTGCCAGTCTTCTGAAGAGTAGCAGCTTACACACCTGGCTGCAGATCTGATTGTCACTTGGCATTGGTGAGTGCCAGTGGTTAAATTCAGTGCAGCAGTTGGTGCTTGAACTGCTGGCCTTATCCTTGCTTAGAGATCTCTGGTCTCCAGGAGCTGGCAGATGAGTAAGGCTTTGCCTACCCAAGTTCTCATCACTTTCTCAATGCAGAAGCTCCTTATACTGCTTTGTCAGCCTTTTGCAGGTACTGAGCTGCCTTGGGAGATGAAGCAGAGGTACCCTAAGGGGTGTAACAGGGAGCCTGCCTGCTGAGCTTCCCTGGAGAAAGGGCCAGTCATGAAAATAATTTGGTTTAAATCCTGACAATGGTGCCTTCATTGAAGCCTTATTTTGATTTGTGGTTAGAACCTTGTTAGCTCACCCAGCACTAGGGCCATGTGAGTACAAATTGTTCCTATGGGGTGAGGAGGGTCCTTCACAAAGTGTAATTCCTTCCTTCCTTTCAGATCTCTTCCATCTCAGCCTCAGGAAAGTGTAGAGCTGTTACTAGGTCAATTCCTTTACCAGTTTTTGAGCCTGTTTCCAGGTCTCTTACAAAGTTATTGGAGCAGGACTTTTTGCAGAAGGCTAAACCAACTAAGCCATCAATAAATTTAGAGCTGTTGATATTTCCAATTCTGCTGTTTGGATTTCAGACTTTTTATTTTTTTCTTCCTGGAGGATTTAAATCTATGGTGGTGATGGATTGCTCTCTAAAGAGACTTGCTTATCTAGCTGGTTTTTTTCCCTCTCATTTCTTCAATCCTGATCAAGTGGGTACTGTTAGGGGTGAGGTGCTGAAGGGCATGGCCCAGCAAGAGGGAGTGAGCCCAGCAACTCCCATGCAGCTCTCACAGCAGAGGGAATACAGCTCACTGGGGCACAGCCTTACCTTTTTATTATTGGATAATATTGGATAATAACTGTCTAGCAGCATCATGGGATAGGATATGGATTAGGAAAGATAACAAAAGGACAAAGCTTGGTGGAGCTGAGCAGCAAACATTGGGCTATTGTGTATTAAGCAGCTAACCCGATTAATTGCAGCCTGTTGCAGCTCGAGATGTCCAGCTCTATAGGTGAGGACTGCTGGCTCTAAAGACATTGGTAGCATGATTATTGCTGCTATTATTAAATTGTCTCTGCCAAATGTTCCCAGACAGCTCCCACATGGGGCCTGTGCTCTGTGTGCTGCTCATGATGCTGTATTGTAGTTATTAGAAAGTATTGTATTTTAATGAAGAGATGGTTTATAAAGTAATAAACTTCTGGGTTTGGTTCAGGCTCAGTTCTCTCTCCCTGTTGGATCACAGCACATCTATTCAAGTAAATGCAACCCTTGAGACAGAGCCTTCCCAGCTCTTCCCAAACAATGATCTCACAATTACATGCTCAGGAATAAAATCTCTACTCCAGCTCTTTCCCCTGGCCAATAAGATGGAGGGGAAGCAGACAAGAATTTCTGGGAAGTCTATGTTAAACCCTTCTTTTCTCCATCCCATTCTCTTCCAGGATACTTGGTAGAAGGCTTTGGGGCAGAAACTAGGAAAGGGCTGTCCAGAGTGTGCTAGTAGGGCTGACTTTCTGTATCTGGTGGCTTCTCTGGTAGTTCTGATCTTTCCACTTGAGCCCTGCTGTTTGCAGCATTGCTCTGCAGAGATCTGGTCTCAGACCATCTCAGACGAGCAGTCTAAGGTAACTGTCAGTGCTATCGTTAGCAGCAGAACTATCTGTGCTGGAGTGGAGTGGCTGCAGAAACCTGGAGTCACTGTGCTACATCCCTTCAAGTGCTGAGACTGAGAATTACACAGGAGGCTGATTTAGGAGGGGGTGACAGTTATCTGAAGTCCTGCATTTCCAGTCCCCTGCTGAGAAATTAGTCTGCCAGTGGCTACAGTCCTCAAGGTGAGT